ATTATTTAATGAATTATTATTTAATTCAAAATTTTATTTTTATTCAATTATGATACTTAATTCTTAGTGACTAATTTTGTAAGAAACTATTTTATAGTTGTTATTTTAGTAACGAAATCATTGAATACTAGTATTTATTGAATTTTCAAAAATGCCCTTTTTTTATTTTTTGGGATATGGATTTTTAAGACTAAAAATTTTGTCACACATTCAATTTATGACCTTTTTGTTTTGTCATTGATAATAATAGTTGTAGCAAGTTTTTGGGTCACAAATAATCTTAATTGTGACCAACATGGTAGTATTTGTTTCAATTTTTTTAGTCACAGATAATTCTAGTTGTGATTAAAAAAAAACGTCACAAATGATTTAATATTAGTAACCAAATTTTATGTCACAAACAATTTCTTTTGTGATGAGTTATACATGTTACAAATGAGGTTCCTTTTCGTGTCTAATTATTTTGTCATAAATAGTCATCATTGTGATGCAAAAATTCGTTACAAATACGATAGTAATTGTGTCTATTTTCACCGTAACTAAAATCATGATTTGTTGTCACGATTCCAAAATTAGTTACTATTACTTTTAGTGACTCAATATTTATAACGGACAATGACCAACTAAATTTTAAATACAAATATAATTTATGACTAAAAACTTTAATTTTTAAGACTAATTTTCTCATCACAGTTAACCCATTTCCTTGTAGTGGTTGGACTTGCGCCTCTTTTCTGTATACGTACAACAATAACTGGGCCTGCAATTGGCCTCACTGGACTGTTAGACCTGGTAATTACCACCTCCCATCCACGTGATTAAACTGTACCATATTCCAATTGCTTTACTTTTTTTTTTTTTTAACCCTATTTTGGTTCTTTTATTTTAATAAAACATTTTATTTAGTTTGTTTATTTATATTTATTTTTTAAAAGTTTATTATTTGATTTTTTTAATTTTTTTATCTTTTTATAAACATGACATGATAAATAATAAAAATTTTAAAGTATAAAAATTTAAAAAACACTAATAAAAGCTTCTTTTAGTTTTTCCACTTTTTAAAAAGTTTCTTTTTAATTTCTTAACTTTGGTATTTTTATAATTTAATGTGTTATATATGCATAAAAATAACAAATGAACTAAAAAAAGGATTAAATAATAAAATTTAAAATCCTAAAGGGGACTTTTTAAAGTAAAATGGCTAAAAAATTTTTTTATTAAAATAGAAGAATCAAAATAAGGTTTTAATTTTTTTTTCTTTTAAAAAAAAAATTACCTTTTGCTTCTAAGAACCAAAATACTATTATTCAGGTACCTCAAGGATTGCTATTGAAGTATTTTTTTTTGTAATTATATAATATTTTTAGATATATGTGTTTCATAATTTTTTTTGAACTATTATAA